ATCTAAGAATTAATACATTTTCTCAGGCTCATGTTCCTGTTAGCTCCAAATCTTGTATCTAAAAAGAGCAACACACCTAAAAAGGATAATATGTTCTTTGCACCTACGTCTCCAATGCCTCAGAAACCCCAGCCAACACCCTGGCTGGGCCTGCTCAGGAGAAAAGGCCTGTGGTGCTCTGGCCAGCTGGGGCTGCCTACCCACCCACCAGCTTTCTGCACTCCACATATCCGAGGCTACCAGTGATGTCTAGTTCTTCCTTTTCGTACTTTTCAGGGGCAGGGGTGGGAAGAAGCTCATTCGCCTTTCCACTAGACTTAGAACTTCATGGATATGGCCAAAGTTTTGTGGCCAGGAACTTTGTCACAGATACATTATTGACTGACCTTCCTCCCAGCTCCTGTCATTTGACTAAAGAGAGGAAGGATCACGTCCCTGCCTTATGCCCATGACGTCCTGGCTGTTCTCAGTTACAGAGGGAAACAGTACAGGAAAAGAAAGGCAGAGTTCACCATCCAGAAGGCAGGACAAGCCCCGGAACACTGCCATCAGAGTACTGTTCTAAGTCTATTTATTGACACAGATGACTATTTATAGTACAGAAAAATACATTATAAAACAATACATATATCTGAGTGTGGTGGAACACACCTGTTTACCAAGCACTCAGGAGGCTGAGGCAGTGGGATTGAGAGCTTGTGCAACCTGGGCTGCACAGTGAGACCCTGCCCCAAAGCAAACAAACAAAACAACAGCCATTTGTATGATAGCTTTATGAAATATCTTTTTGTTTGTTTGTTTGTTTTTGTTTTTCGAGACAGGGTTTCTCTGTGTAGTTCTGGCTGTCCTGGAACTCACTCTGTAGACCAGGCTGGCCTCGAACTCAGAAATCTGCCTGTCTCTGCCTCCCAAGTGCTGGGATTAAAGGCGTGCGCCACCACCGCCCGGCCTATGAAATATCTTTTATAAATTACCTGCTTCCAAGAGACATCAGTAAGCTACAGAAGAGGGAGTAATAGTTGAGTGACACTTTATTTTTAAGTCTGTACTAATTTGATTCTTCTGTAATGGGTATATATTGCCTCCATGACTGTGAAAAGAAAACATCCAGGGGATCTGAGTAAACAGAACATCTCTTAGGAGACTCACAGGTTCAAAGAACTCATAGCTAGTGGCCAGAGAGATGGCTCAGTGAGTTAAGGCACTTGTCACCAAGCTTGACAACCCGAATTGGATCCTGGTGTCCAATGACAAGAGGAGAGAACTGATTTCCTGAAGGTTGTTTTCTGAGCACACGTGATGAGGCATGTGCATATACATACATGTAAAGAAGAAACAAAACCCCATAGCCAGAAGACCACCTAACTATTCCACTGTGCTGGAGGATGGCAACACTTACAGCCCCACGCTTCCTTGTAGAAAGGAGGCCCAGCTTTTTTGTGGCCTTCTCATTTGCCTCCTCACCAGGCATCCCGAGATTCCAACTTGTGGCTGAGCACAGTGCTGAACACCTTTAGTCTCAGCACTCAGGAGGCAGAGGCAGGTGAATTTCTGAGTTCAAGGCCAGCCTGGTTTACAGAGTGAGTTCCAGGACAGCCAGGGCTACACAGGGAAACAAAAACAGATTCCAGCTTGTCTTTCTTCTGTCTTCCCTCTCACAGCTCTTGGGCTCCCTTATTCCCTAGCCACAAGCCATTCTTGCCCATCTTGTCCCCACTCTGAGCTTGCTTTAGATACTCCCTTGTGTCTATATGAGCCCTGCATGGCCACAGTCAGTTTGCACTTCTCTGTTGACTTTGTCTCTCTTCATTATTTTTCTTTTCTCTTGGTTCCTCTCTCCCTTCCTCCTTACTGCTTTCCTCCCCTCTACCCTTTCTCTCTACTTTCTTTTGCTTTTTCCTTCCTTTCTGTGCTGCTGGCCATCAAACTGTGCCTGTGCCATGCCAGGCAAATGCTCAGTCACTCAAGGTCCACGTAGCTCTCCTGTCTCCCTTCTCAGCGATGGTTATTCTCCACGTTTACAGGTGAACCAGCCAGCAAGATGGCCCTTTGATTACCTATGTATATTTTTTAAAAAAAATTTTAATGGTTATTTTACTTACATTTCAAATGTTATCCCCCTTCCCAGTTTCCCCTCCGAAAACCCCCTATCCCACCCTCTCCCTCCTGCTTCTATGAGCGTGCTCCCCACCCATTATGCATACTTTTTTATTATTTTAAATTAAATTGTGTGTGAGAGGGTGAACGAGAGGACAATTTGCAGGAGTTGGTTCTCTCATTCCACCGTGTGGGTCCCTGGTGTGGAAGGGAGGTTGTTAGGCTCAGTGCTCAAGTACCTCTACCCACTGAGTCATCTCCCTGGTCTGTCGGTGTTCATCATTCCATTTTAATTCTGGAGGATGACAATGGAGTTGAGTCCCAAAACAAAAGAAAGACAAGATAATGTGGGCAGAATAAAGTGATGGCTGAGTTGGTGTCTACAAGTGGTTGGCCAGTTCTTAGAGGAAGATGCTAACTATCCGCCTTTTCTTTCAGGGAATAGACAAAAGGCTATGAGCCTCTGTCAATAACTGACTGACTAATAAGAGACAGAATTTGCTTTTTGTTTTGTTCTTTTGAGACAGGGTTTCTCTGTGTAGCCCTGGCTGTCCTGGAACTCACTCTGTAGACCAGGCTGGCCTTCAACTCAGAGATCTACCTGCCTCTGCCTCCTGAGTGTCCGGATTAACGATGTACACCACGATGTCCAGCAAAAGCCAGTATTTGTTAATTACTGATGCTAGTCTTTGAACTAAGTCTTCTAAGTCACCATGCTTTGCAAATAAGACCATCCATACCTGAGTACAAGCAATCTGGGAACGAGAAGAGAGCAAAACTAGTTCTTAGAATGAATTGCCAAAAACAAAACAAAGAACAAAATAAACTGTCTTCATTGTTGTCTCCCAGAATAGGGAAGTTCCTCTGACGTGGTCTGCCTTGCCTTTAAGTAAGCACCACGCCATGGACAGGCTCCCTTGTTCAGGCTCTCCTACAAGGACGAAAAAGCTGGGATCATCTCCCGTCTGCCCCCATCTATCTGAATGGCTTTACATTCATCCTTTCCTGCCAGATTTTCTATCTAACAATTCGGAGACTGTGTACATTAAAATTCTCAGTCCTTAATTCATGAGATAATGTAGAGATAATCTCTCAACCCCCCAAAGATGTTTGGTAATTTGATTTTCTTTTCCTTTATTTCTTCTTTTCTTTTTCTCCATGGGGGTCTCAGGAAGCCCCCATTGGCCTTGAACTCTCTATGTAGCCAAGGAAGGCTTTGAACTCCTGATCTTTCTGTCTCCACCTCTCAGTGCTGGGATTATGGGCATACACTACACCTGGTTAAATATTTTTGTTGTTAGTTAATAGTCATTTTAATTGAGAAATTTTAGACTTGTATGCAACTGAAAGAAGTAATATGGAGAGATCAGTGTTTCCCAGAACCAGCATCTAACAGTGTCATGATAACTCAGATACTGACGCTGACTCAGTCAGCCTGTGTGACTCACACTTCCATAGTTTCAGATACACATTTGTATGTTAGTCTGTATATAGTGTTCTATCTGCTGGCATTTTCTTTTGCATCTACTTTTCTTTTTTCCTTTTGGTAGAAAGGCCCTTGATCTCCTGATTTCTAAGAAGGAATTTGTTTTTTAACTCTGGGGTTTCTAGACTAGATCCCAAAACCTCTATAGCTCTCAGTTTCAATAATCAACTCAAATCATTTTGAGACAATGTCCCACTATGCTGCCCAGACTAGCCTCAGACTTGCTCTGTAGCCCAGGCTAGACTCAAACTCATGATTGGTCTTTCTCAGCCTTCTGAATCCTGGAGCTACACATGTGTGCCACCGTGACAGGTGGGTAAAAGGGGATGGGAAGATAAGGGAAAAGGAAGGAAAATACAAAGGCACAATACACAGCTTGTCATCCATGGCTTGAATTCAAAGTGTCCCTTACAGGCTCGTGTTTTAAGTGCTTCTTTCCTGGCTGCCGTGCTGTTTTGACAGGTGGTGGAACCTTTAGGAGGTGGGTCCAGCTGGCAGTGGTAACTCACTAAAGACAGGCCCTTGAAAATTCCAACCCAGACCCTGGTTCCAGCCTTTCTCTACTTCCTGGTCCACCACTGTGGTGGTTAACTGAGAAATTTCCCCATAGTCTACTGGATATAAATACTCCATCTCCAATTAGTGTCACTGCAGCAGGACAACCCAGCCTTAGGACCTCCTGTGATGTCAACCATGAAGCGTGGCCATGAAGCAGCAGGACTTGGGTCGCCTGCTCACTTTAGTCTTGCTTTACTGCAGCACTGTGCTGAGTTCCTGTCCTGTCCTCCTCCAGGGCTGGGAATGGCTCTCTGTGCCACCGAGTGTTGGAAATACATCACTTACTTTTGTATTCTACAAGGTCTCACAGGTGAGAGGCTGCCTTGAATCTAAGAAGAAGAAACTTTGGGTTTCTGAGCACTGGTGGGTGGGACTGTTACACCATGTGGAATATCCAGGTTGAACCAAATGCACTTTGTATTAAGAGATGCCCATAATCCTTTGTAAGGCCAAGACAGAATATTATGATTTAAGTCTGAGATGTGCCCAGGGGCTCTTAAGATTTTTATTGTTGTTGCTTTCCAAAGTACTGGGATTACAGGCACATATTATTAAGCCTGGCTAATCTTAGCTCTTGGTGCTATTCTGGAAGACTATAGGACCCTTAGCAGGTGGGCCAGGCTAGTATAGCTCCTAAGGGGCAGGCCTTAGACAGTAACAGCCCAGGCCTGGTGTCAGCTACTCCTGCTGTGCCACATGCCTTCCCTACCATAAGAGATGTGACTCTGAAGCCATGAGCCCAAATAAATATTTTCTCCTTTGGACTGTTTCTATCAGGTATTTTATCACAGTGGTAAGACATGTAACAACCACACAGTCTCCATTGAGCTTAGGTCCCAGCAAGGAGGCAGACAGTACATCAGGTAAAACCAATAATTTATTAATCATACTCTCAAGAGTGAGGATGTTGCTTGGTGATATTTGGAAAGTCTTTCTGTAGAAGCTGATGCCTGAGCTCCATGTTGAAGGATAACCCGGACTTCTTTAGCTGAGAAGAGAAGAATTGTTAAAAATGTATTCTCTCTTAAATCATACTTAGTCTGTTCTCAGTGCTTGGAGAGAACACAGGAAACCATGTCTACATTTGTTTACAATGTTAAGGTGTCAAATTTTTCAACCCTTGTGAGCAAGTACTGAGGCCAAGATATTCCCACCCCAACCCCCCACCCCCGAGTCCATTTTCCACTATCTTGTCCAAAGTGGACACCAGATCCTGCCTGCTTAGTTTGAGAAAGGCATTTTATCTCTGGTGCCTTGATCACATCAGAGCTTATATTTAAGGCATGAGAGATGAGAAGAGACCGCAGCTACGCCCTTGGCTCTGTCCCATGGCTGTACCACCCTCCTCCTCTCATCTGAAGACTTTGGAAGCCAGTCCTTCAACAGCTGGTGGGCGTGAGAGCTGGCCAAACTGTGAATAAAACATCTTAGCCTCTAACCCTAACCCTTTCCCTCACTGGTTCATCAGAACCTCCAGAGGCATGGGTGTTCTGACCCCTCAAGTCTATCCTTCCTATGTCTACTGGTTAGCTGCCTTGTCTGTATGGGCTTCAGGTTTCCTATAAGGCTGCTTAGCTCCCAGCTCTGTTTTCACAGAGACCACTGTCTCTGATGTAGCCATTTTTGGATCTGGGAGGCTGAATCCTAGCAGACCTATACTTCAAAAGCCCCTGGAAGCCATGTTTAAGGCACTTCTTAAAAAAATGGTCTCTGTGTTCTGAAGGTTATTTAATTCATAAATTTCAACATTTCTTCTGTAGCACCATCTCATAGAGTTAGTTTACTTTTTAAATAAATGGCCTGGCTGGGTATAGTGGTAAACCCCTTTAATCCCAGCACTTGGGAGGCAGAGGAAGGTAGATCTCTGTGATTTTGAGGACAACTTGCCTATATTGTGAGTCCCAGGCCAGCCAAAGTTACATAGTAAGTCCTTGTCCCAAATGAACAAACAAATTAATAAACAAATGGCCTAGGCTAGAGAGATGGCTCAGTGGTTAAAAGCAAACACTACTCTTCCCAGCACCTGTATCAGACAGCACACAATTGACTGTAATTCCAGCTTCAGGAGATTTGGACTCTGAGGGCATGTGTGTATGCGCGTGTGCGTGTGCACACGCACGCACACCCACACACACACACAGAGTTGTGCCTTTTTCTAGTTTTTACTTATTTGTCTGTTTGGTTTTTTCTTTGTTTTAAGGTGGGGTTTCTCTATATAGACCAGGCTTACCCCAATCTTTTAATGGTCCCATGTCAGCCCCTCAATGCTGGAATGACAGGTATGTGCCACTGAGACTACCTTCCCAGCATGTATATGTGTGTGCATATGCGTTTGTCTACATATATGGGAAATTGAAAGTTGAGTTCGTATTGTATAACTTGCTTTATTAATGGATCATTTATTCATTTCATGGATCATGAACTTCCTCATATATTTAGTTACAATGTGACAATCATACTTTCAGCTATTACCTAGTTTTCTAACATGTTGATATTTATATAATTCATAATGCATTACATTGGCCCTTAAACTGTTTCCTGTTTTCATTTTGGTACACAGTGGCAAATGTCCTTGCTCATAAGTTTGTGTTTCTGGCACTAGCTCTTCAAGACAGATACTTGGGAGTGAAACGTCTCTAGCCTGCTGTTACCTTGCTAATATTAGTTATGCAGACTTGTACCCTGGATTGCCCTGGCTCATGACACATCCTCATGGTTGGCAAGTGAATGGTCCAGATCTTGTTGACTTAGGTAATACATGTATTAATTTAATAATATAATCAGTATCCAATCTCTAACCATAGCCTGTCATCTCCCTCTCCTACCAACCCTAGAGTTTCATTTCCTTGCTTCTATTTTTATGTGGTTTCATTGTTTCTATATTATTTTTAAATTTTTATTTATTTACCTTTATTTTATGTGCATTGGTGTTTTGCCTGCATGTATGTCTATTCGAGGATGTCATATCTTGGAGTACAGACAGTTGTGAGCTGCCATGTGGGTGCTGGGATTCGAACACAGGACAAACTCTGGAAGAGTAGTCAGTGCCCTTAACTACTGAGCTATCTCTCCAGCCCCTATAAATATTCTTAAAGACTGATTTTTGAAGTCATTTAGGACTTTTTCTGTGTTTATGATTGTATGACTAAAGTCCATCCATATCACTGCACATAGCTCCAGGTTGTTCATGTTGATGGATCCAAAGTCATCCAAAGCATAAATGAACCATGGTTCATCCTCCTCTCATGCCCCCATGAATGAACTAACACCATAGCCACGGTTTTGCTCTTCCACAAAGCATATCTGTGATGTCACCAACATCTCCTGCACTTGCACTATCTAGAGACTCAAGACCCTCTGGGTACTCTCCCCTGGTGTTCATGTTTCTGTGGCCTGACATTCATGTTGTCAGGCCACTCTCCAGACAGAGAGAGCAGTTTGCTCCTCCTCTAGGAAGAGAATATACACCTAATATACACCTTCTCACACTCTTCCTAATGAAAGGATCATGGAAGCCACTTTGACCATCTCACAGACAAAAGGTTACCCTCTCCTGGCTCTGTGGCCAGGTACTGATTCCTCTTAAAGCTGAGAACAGGTTTTTGGTTCCGGGAATTGTTTCCAGTCTGATAATGGCAGTGATTTCTGGAACCGATTTCCCAATAGCTCAGCTGCTTTCCCTTGTCCTGAAAGAAGTGCTGCTGTCAGGAGGAGGCTTCGAGGGGAGCAGGATGGGAACCGTGCCCAGCTTACCACAGTGGAAGATTGTCTCCTGGTCCCAGCCCCTGCCAGTGTCAGATCACTCCTAATGAAACAGGCATTCTCTCTCTCTCTCCTCACTCTCCTAGAAAAGCCAACATAATGCTACCCTTTGTTCTTGAATTGACAAATTTAAACCTCCTGCTTTGCTCTGCAATAAAAGAACTTTCTATTTTGGGCTTGGTGACATAGCCAAAACCAAGCAAGAGCAGCCGGCTGCAGCATGAGTTAATAGCTTTCTTTAGGGGAGAAAGGATCCACGTGCAAAAGGAGAATCTTCCAAAACGTGTCTTCTGCATAGCAACACGCAGCCCATTTGTCTATCTTTCTGCTGACAGATGTATTTCAAGACCGAAAACTAAACACTATTTAACATTCAAAGCAAACTAGGGGATTAACCCTGAACTGACAGCTAGCCACACCCACTTCCCTGACCCTTCTGCCTCTACCACCCCAGTCCTAGGATTTACAGGCACGAGCCACCTAGCTCAGTTTATATTTCTTAATCAAATACAAACATTTGCTGATGGCCCCTGTGTCCCTAGCACTCAATAGGCGCTGCCAAGGAAGACATTTCTGTCCTAGAGGATTTTTAGCCACCAAAAATTATGCTAATTTGAAGAGTATCTTGAGTACTAGCCAAGACTAGGTTTTCCTCTGCTAGTCTGCTTCTGTATGAGAAAGCCTCCATACTAGAATAGGGGTTCTCAAGAAGCCTCAGGCTTGCAGAAGGGTCATGTTCAGATCTATGTAAGTAGGCACCAGTTAGTACAAACCCAGGTCTGGAAGAGATGGGCAGCAAAGAGTGAGTCCTCCCATTTCTCTTATGGAAGTTCCAAGTCCACAGAGTACAGATGATAACGAGAGCCTCGCTATTAGACACTGTCTGGTTTCAGCAATTATCGACATACGTCAATCTTATTCCATTCACACGCAACCCTCCCACATCTCTATCTTAAAACAAATTAGTGTCCCTTTATCTTTGTATACTTTATATATACATATAGGAAATACAGAATTCAACAATTACAGCATTGAGGCTGAAAAAACACAATAATGTCATCTAGGGTCAGAGGTCAAACTGACCTGGTGTTCCTTGTACTTCACTGACTTCTTGCAATAGTTTGGTCTGACTTGGAGCAAAACAATGGCATCTAAGCAAGTATAGTGGTATAGGCCTGTAATTGCAGCACTTTGGAGATAGAGGCAAGAGGATTAGGAGTTCAAGGCCATCCTCTGCTATATATAACAAGTTCCAGACCAGATTTGTCTCAAACAAATAAATATAAAACAAAAACAGGCCTATAGGAAGGCATAGCTTGTGGACACTTGCTGCCAAGCAGAGGAATGCAGGATGGATGGAGAGACCTCTGACCTCCACACCCCAATACTAACTAACTAACTAACTAACTAACTATATAAATGTATACATGTAGAAACATAATAATATCACTTTCTTTCACTGATGTATCTCATTGCTAAAGCCAAGCCATGAACAGGAGGTTGCATGAATTTCTGGGTTTTGTTCATAGTTTTAGTAACTCTCAGTTTAAATTTTTTTAATTTTTATTTTGTAACAGCACCTGCCACCCTTGCCTTTATTCCTGTATATTTTATTTTTTGTTGTTGTTGGGTTTTTCCTTTTTGAGACTGTCTTACTCTGTGGCCCAAGGTGGCCTCAAACTCATGAATAAACTTCTTGCCTCGGCCTGAGAACTGGGATCAGTGGCATGAGACACCACGCTTGGCTAGTTTCTCATCCTTATTGTGCACTTTCTGGTGGCACTGAAGACAATAGGTCTTTTACTTTGATGGCTATGTAACAGACTGCTCCAACCTACTGGTATAATCACCAGTTTATCATGTACACGGGAGTCTACGGTCAGGAATTCAAGCTCGGCACTGTGGGGATGGCTTCTCCTTGTTCCGGGTTTATTTGGGGCCTCCTTGGGAAGAGTCAAGTCTGCAATGATGTCACATCTGAGATCTATCAGAACTTGAGGCTTGATGACCCCTAAACATGGGCTGCAGCCAGTGTCCTGATGTAGCCACTCTCTATGACTTAGTTTTCTAAAGCTAGGTGGTTTGGAAAGAGTTTGTCTTTGTTTTATTTAGTGTGTTCTGGGATCAAAGGTTTCCGGCTAACAAGCTGTTCTTTCTGACCAAATCTCAGAGCTCCTAGTGTCAATCTCCCTGTGCTCTAGTGGGTGACAGTCATGAGCCCTCTCAAGTGGGATGGGTCCGACTCTACCTTTAGAGAAGCAAGATCTCTGCAGAGTGTGGAGGTTGGCCCAGTCGAGGAGGTCAGGACGGCCAGTTGAGGCTGCCTCTCTTGCACCAACCTGGAACAATGTTGCAAACAGTGGGAACCTGCTGGAGAAGAGCACAGAGAGTCAGGGACATCTCCCAGCTGAGCACGGTGTACCCTGGACAACTGAGGGGCTGACTGAGCTAAACCTTGGTATGGACTGTGCCCACATCTCCAGAAGGAATAAGGGCTGTAGTGGTTTGAATAGGGATGGCCCCCATAGATTCATGTGTTTGAATGGTTGGCCATGGAGGGTAGCACGATTAGGAGGTGTGGTCTTCTTGGAGGAAGTATGTCACTGTGGAGGTAGGCTTTGAGGCCTTCTATGTGTGACAAGTCTCTCCTTGTTGCCTGTATATCAAGATGTAGAACTCTCAGTTCCTTCTCCAGCACCATGTCTGCCTGTGTGCTGCCATGCTTCCTACCATGATGATAATGGACTGAACCTCTGAAACTTGAAACCAGTCCTAACTAGATGTTGTCATTTATAAGAGTCACCATGGTCATGGGGTCTCTTCGCAGCAATAAAACCCTAACTAAGACAAGGGCTTTCCTCACTCATGTCAGACCCCACAGAACAGCAGTTTCCTAACGGACTGCAGTCATTGGATGCACTCATCTTCCTGACGCTGGGCAACTATTGAACACAAGCTGTTTCGGAGCACATTAGGTCTTATGTACCTTGAGCTAGACCCACTAGTTAACCATAAAACTCGAAGCTGTATTACTTACTGAAATACTGTTTTAAATGATCTGTGTGTGCTTGTGCATGTATGCAGGTGTCCAAAGACCAGAAGAGAGCATTACATCTGTGAGAACTAAAGTTACAGGAAGTTTTAAAACAATGGTTCTCAACTTTACAGTTCCTTGTGTTGTGCTGACCCCCAACCATAGAATTATTTTGTTGTTACTTCATAACAATAATTTTATTACTGTTATGAATCATAATGTAAATAACTGATATGCAAAATATCTGATATATGACCCCCAAAGGGGTAATGACCCACAGGTTGAGAACCATTGTAAATATAAGCCATTCTATGTAGGTGCTGAGAACTGAATTCAGGTCCTCTACAAGAGCAACAAGTACTTTTAGCCTCTGAGCCATCTCTCCAGCCCTCAAATACTGTTTTTAAATGGTATGCACTTTTAGCTTGTAGGTCTTGCCCTTGTATTGCTGTATTGGTCTAGACATTATCTCAGATGCTGAGACACCAGGTCTTAACATCCAGGGACTCCAACTGACCCATCTGTACTCAGGCTTAGCTTGATACAAAAAAAATGGACATAGAATTTCTAGAAAACCAAGCCAAACAGAATTGAGGCTTTCCTTTCCTTTCCTTTCCTTTATTAAAATTTTCTGTTTCTCATTTATTGTTAGCATAGCTTTTATATTTGGGATAAATACAAGAGCAAATACTTAATTCTACTTCTGGGTATCAGGAAACATATAGTATTTTCCTGGGGTCTGAGAGATGGCTTATTGCTTAAGAGAACTAGCTGCTCTGCCATAGGACATGGGTCAGCACCCATATGGCAGCTCACAACTGTCTGTAATTTCAGTTCCAGGGGCTCCAACACCAGTTTCTGGCCTTTGCATATGGTGCACAAACATACATGCACACAAAATGCCTATACACATAACTTACTTAATTTAAAAATTAATACATTTCTGATCATTAAAAAACTTTATTTTGGGCTGGAGAGATGGCTCAGCGATTAAGAGCACTGACTGTTTTACCAGAGGTCCTGAGTTCAATTCCCAGCAACCACATGGTGGCTCACAGCCATTTGTAGTGGTATCCGATGCCCTCTTCTGGTGTGTCTGAAGACAGCTATAGTGAACTCACATACATAAAATAAAATAAATCTTTTTTAAAAAAACTTTTATTTTTAATTATGTGACTATGGGAGGGGTGCATGTGTGAATGCAAATCCCTCAGAGTCTAGAGGAAAGCAAGGTATCAGATCCTCTGAAGCTAGAGTTACAGGCTGTTGTGTACTGCCCAACATGGATCCTGGAAATCAAACTCAGGGTCTCTGTAAGAGCTATACATGCTCCTAACCTTGAAGCCATTGCTGCAGCCCAATTCCTAAGTATTTTGCATAGCAGGATAGCCTCATACAACCCCACACCTGACAAGGGCAGGCAAGTTCCAAAACACTCCACAGAGTCCACATTTAAATTCCTCTCAATGAGAATATCAAACCACTATGGTGACATTCACTCAGATGCTGGCAATAACATCTGGGTGAGAAAAGCCTCAGACGGCATGATCTGAGCACCCAATTTTTATTTTCTTCTACACTTCAGTGTTTTTCTTACCTATTAAACCTCAGATAGAGAGAGCATTAATCACACATTTTCAGTTCACAGCACATTATACCCTAAATCAGTCCACTCAAGGTTCTTCCTTTGTTTTGTGTTTGTGTTAGCATATATGTATGCATGTATGTAGTAGTTTGTGCATATGCATGTATCAGTGTATGCATATAGTATTATGTGCATATGCACACATTTGTGTATGTATGCATGCATGTGTGTACATATGTAGTAGTACCTATGCCTACATCTGTGTATGCATGCATGCTCGTGCATATGTATGTAGTATGTGCATATGCATGTATCTGTGTATATGTATGCACAGACGTATTTGCCCCATTCCTCTCTCCATTCTTCTCTTATAAGCAATCATTCCAGTATAGTTGCTGCTACCGGCTTATGTGTGTTCATATCAGGTGTGTGCTATGTTTGCATGTATTTTCATTTATATGAACAATACTGTGTTACATATCTCATTCTGTCTTTCTGTTTTTCACCCCTCAATATGATTTCTAGGCCTTTGCATGTTGCTACATGCACATTTCATATATCAGCTCAACTGCTGAACAGCATACTGTAGTATGTAGTCATGACAAATTGTCATCTCTGTTCCCCTAGTCATGGGTACTCTTGTGCAACCTCCAACTTCTCTCCCCAACCAGGAGGAGCCAGCTGAGTGACCCATATCAGACTCATGTGGAAATCTCTCTCTTTTTAAATTATTTTTTCTAACTTATCCTCATTACCTTGTGTATGTGTATGTTCCTGCACGCATGTGGATCTGCATGTGTGTGCATGTGCATGTGGGCAGGCATGCCAATAGTGTGTGGGGGGGGTGGGTCATAGGATTGTTTTCAGTTCACTCTCTCCTGCTACTTGGTTGAGGCAGGTGAGGCTACAGGTGAAGTCTTCTCCTTAATAGACCCCTTTGCTCTCTATCCTCTGGACTGAGGCAAGGGGCTTAGGTACAGCAATGCCTCATACTGTCTTGAAGACAGTGGAGAAATATGTTCCCCCATACCACTGCTGCACAGGCAATGTGGGGATCATCTCCCCTGAGCAGAATCTCCAAGTGGTTTTGCCAGAGTGTGGAGGCCTGGCCCCGAGCCACCCCATCTTTGTCCCTGGGTGAATGTCTTGTGACAGAAACAAATAAGGGTGGTTTCCACCCAAGGACACCAGAGGTTTAGCTGCAGCCATCTAGGTGAGCTTTTAAAGCTGGTCAGGATTGCAATCCAGCAAAAATCCCATTGACTGTACTGACACATTTAAGCCCTCTTAAAGTGACCGTGTACGGAGGAGATGAAATACCTATGTATAAAGAAAGCTTTCTAACTTGTTTGGCGTTCCAAGGCAGAGTTTCTTTGTGTAATAACTCTGGCTGTCTTGCAACTAGCTCTGTAGATCCAACCGCCTCTGCCTCCCAAGCGCTGGGATGAAAGGCGTGTGCCACCACCTCCGGGCAAAAGCTGCTATTAGGTATACTTTTGTTATTTTTCTTTTTAGCTTTTTGAGGTAAGAGTTTACTATGTAGCCTACGCTGACCTGGAACTCAGGGTCCTCCTTCTCACCATATCCAGTGCTAGCATTACAAATGTGGTTTATCCTGCCTGTGGCTGCGGCACAGCCTTTGTCCCCTCCATGCATGGGCCTGAGTTTGGTTCCCAGCAGCCAGATTTGGGCAGATCACAACCGCTTACAACTCCAGCTCCAGATCTTCACCTCCTTCTGGACTACATGGGCACCTGCACTCACACTGGGAAGTCCCACTTAGAGTCTCTCTAAAACCAGCATTCTGGAGAACTGAATAACACTAGAGAGAACACCTGACCTCCCTGCAGTTCTATGAGCTCCTCAGCATGCACAGATGAGTGGCCAACCACCACCAGCCTTTCCCCTCCCTTGGGTCAAGTCCTTGGATAAGAAAGTTTTGTGCTGTTGCCTTGGCAACAGCCTGAGACTCCTAGCTCCACATGCCAAGCTTTTGAAATCTTAATGAGTCAGCAGCTCTGCTTCCTCCTCTAAGTTCCTTACCACAGGCATAGCCCAGTTTCAGCCATGAACCAGGAAGGGCCCACAGTATCACCCACTCCCCAGAGTGATTCACTTGGTTGTTTCAACAGTTTGCTCGAAACACAAGCAACCTCCCCAAACTATTTTGAAGCCCACACCAGAGATCATAATTCTTAAGATGTGTCATTCTAGTGACCAATCGCTTGATTCCCACAGCCTCTGAGAAAGCTCCCAAGGCTGGCTGGTGGTCCTGGGATGTACAGGAGGGCAGGCTGAGGAAGGCATAAAAAGCAAGTCAGTAAGCAGCTCTTCCATGGCCTCTGCCTTTAGTCCCTGCCCTGACTTTCATCAATGACGGACTACAAGCTATAAGATGAAATGAGCCCTTTCTCCCAATTTGCTTTTGGTCATGGTGTTTATCATAGTGATGAAAACACTAATTAAGACACTGTCTTTAGATTATTTCTATTTTCGCAGGAAGAAAAAGCATGCTGTGAGCTCCTAGTTTCAGTGCGCTGTCAGTGTGTGAGTGAGCTCAGATGGTTTGGACGCTGATCCCAGCCCCAGGTAATCACCATTTTGAAAACATTAGCGTCTGCCCTTTGATGTCTTATCTCCTCTAATATATCACTTTAGAATCCTTGAGACACCATAATATCCTGTGTCACAGGATGTCAGGCTGATTAGGTGGAAAGCCCTGAAAAGGATGAAAGAAGCCAGACATGAAAG